TTTGACACATGGATTACAATAGGACAGAAAAATCTGGAATTAGAAAATTCCCATTGCTGGATGCTATAGCTGAGTCCAACATGGAATTTGGAGGGTTGCTATTCATGTAACAGATCGTCCATCGGTCCAACCTCGGCCACCTGTTGACATGGAGTGACAAGCACAGGGCCTTTGTTGGCTGGGATCCTGGGAAGAGTCGGTAGCAGAGTTGCCTTGGGAAGGGGATGACTGAAGGGTGGAGGGAGCGGCCGAAGGTCAGCTCCTCATGAGCTGCCCCTTCAGGCAGAAGGCTTGGAGGAAAAGCCAACAGGGAAGTTGAGGACACGCTGGGTTCAAGCAGAGCTGCTTTGGGGTTCATGTTCAACACACAAGAGAGGCCATTCTCCTCACTCTGTAGGGACCCCAGCATGGCTTCTGGCATCTCATGGGCCGGTCACTTTAGATGCCTCAAGAGATGGCTCCTCTTCTCACCCAAAATAGTCACTGTTGTCCTGCAGGCACCATCAGCTATGGAGCCCGAAAGCTTCAGCTGAGCGGATGGGAGCTCAGGGCTTAGCAGACAATTTAGGGATAAAAGTGAGAAGATGGGGGCAGGCAGAGGAACTCCCGGTCATTGATGCTCCTGAGGCTTGAAGAAGGCAAGCTGCATTGCAGAAACAAGAGGAGGGCACAGAGCAAGAGGGGACATTTTCTTCCAAACTCACACTTGGGTCATATGGTGGGAGACACATTGGACAATAGGATAGACAATCTGAGTTTGGGGCTTATCCAGAAAACGTGCCAGAGCAATATCAGCTTAACTGAGTGAAGGCTTCATTTGATTAGATCCCTAAACTCGGGGGGAGTGTGCTTAGTAAGCCAGCCTATCGTTTCAGCAGAATCGGAGGCCAGGTCAACGTTATAAAAGTAGCAGGGGCGTGGCCAGCAGCCTCTGGCTCTGGATTTTATTTTTTTTGTGTGAAAACCCCACATTTTGAGGAGGTTTTGACAGTGAGACCTATTTAGAATACAAATGATCACTTAATGTCTCTTAAAGGCTTTAAGAAATATTTGAATCATTGAATCTTTCCTAAGCCCAGCAGAGTTATTCAGGAATAAATTGTTTGCCTTTGAGTCAGACAGACGTACTGAATTAATGAGCCCCTCTCTTCTGGTCCTCCTCATGGCTGGGCAATGCGCATTTCCACGAGCTCTGTGAAATGCAGATGGAGTATAATTTTCCCCAAATTGATTTGTTCTACATCATTGAATTTCAGCTATTTGCATTTTTATGTCAGAATCAGATTTAGCTTATTATTATTGTTGTGGAAAATAATTATAATCCTTTAATTGTCATGGCACTTGACAGTTTCTTTTTTCTTTTTTTTCCCCCCCTCACCCAAGGATATGCTTTTTATTTTAGAGGGAGGAAGGGAGGGAGAGAGAGAGAGAGAGAAACATTGATGTGAGAGAGAAACATCGATTGGTTGCCTCCATACCCACCACCTTCTGGTGTATGGGATGACACTCCAACCAACTGAGCCACACCGGCCAGGGCAACAATTTTTTTTAAAAAAATTAAATGATATTTAATTCCGTTCTCACTCTAACATGGAAGACGAAACAGAGTAGGGATTATCAAATGTGCCTCCACTACAAACTGCCCATCGCTCCCAGCTGGTGGAAAGAGGACGGGTGAGTGACTTGCCCACAGCCATGGGGTGGAAGCGGTGGAAGCAGGAATAGAGGCCCAGGTGGGTGGCTCTGTCCGTGCTGAGTCTCACTGAGCCCTGGCTTCGAAGTCTGTCCCGTGGGTTTGATCATCTTGACCTCGAAGGCGGTGAGTGTGGTGCATGTGCATGCGCAGGTGCCAGCACAGAGCCCAACACAGGTGTGTGCTTGGTCATTCCCTTCTCCTCCCATCTCCAGGCACTTGCAGGTGCCATTCAGAGTCCTGAAGCCCACTATGGCTGGGCTGTGGGAGCATAAAGCCTGCGGCTAAGGGGCCAGCAATCATACCACACACACACATGCACACACACACACACACACACACACATACACGTGCATGCACTAGCAGAACTCCTCTCTGAATTTCAAATCCACAGCAGGTTAAGGGGAAGATACCTCTTCCCCAGCTGCTACTGTTCTGATCCCTAAAATCAGCTCCATACATACCCCCCACACCCCCTCTACACATACATCCTTGGCAGCCCATTCTTCAGATCTAAACTTTCGCTGTCCATCGGTTCTTAGACTTGCCTTCTGACTTTTGCACAAAAGTCCAGAAGCCTCTGCTGGGTGTGTTCCTACTTCCTTCCTGTCCAGTGGTCCCTTTGCCCAAAAGTTTGATGAAAGGTGTAACAATAGCCCAGGAGAGTCTCTGTCTGGGCCTCACACCTCCTTAGCCAGCTCAGCTGGAGTGCAGGGTGAAACCGATAAGGTGATGGTGGACCACAGATCAGAGAAGTTAAGCCAATGGTACAGGGTTGCCAATGAACACATGGGCAGCCGGGACTCGACTCTGGGGCTTGCGGATTCCGAGCCTGACGTAACTCCTCCCCTGACCGTAAGTGTCTGACAGCTCTGGCAGCAAAGGGGTCTCCAGCGAGGCAGGGCGGTGAGGGTGGGAGTGGTGCTGGGAGCGGACTCAGCTGCCCTTGGCCTCCCTCAAGCACCAGCAGCTGCGGGAACAGCTGGACCACAGACTGAGAACCCAGTTTTGAATTCTCCTTCACAATTAGCTCAGGAAAGCTGTCAGAGGAAAGGCCGCCCCCGCCCCCCCAGGCTGTCCCTCCCCTCTTCTAGGGCTTCGGTAACTCCGTGTGGGGTCTCCTACCTTGGTCCCACCCTGTGTCCCTCAGGAAGGGTGTTCTCGACAGATGAGATGCTGAGAGGCAGGTAAGAATGGGAAGAGGTGGGGGGAAGAAGCAAGTCGACAGAAGCCCAGGTGGTCAGCAACGTGACTTTAAATTTTCCGTGAAATCTTCTACTCACTCAGATGCCTGGTGTGAGTGACTCCTGCCGTGGGAACTGCAATCGGGGCCGGACTCGGTGTAAGAGTTCATGGGAGGCAGGGCAGAGGCAGTGTGCGAGGTCACGGTCCACAGTGAGCACCCAGTCTTTTCCTCCAGGAATCAGCAGAAATCTCAAGAAGCCTCCTGAGCCCCAGGGGGCACAGAATTGCTCGAGCTTGAGCTGAGTTGTCCTGGTTATTGATCGCTGCACAGCAAACCATTCCAAACTCAGTGGCATAGAGCAACAATCATCTATTATTTTATCTCACAGTTCCGGGTGCTGACTGGACTCAGCCGGGGGGCTCTCGCCTGGGGTCCTTCCTATGGGTGCAGGCAGAGGGCCTTGCAGCTGGAGTCCTTGTGAAGGCTTCCCCATCCAGGTGTCTGGGGCCTGGGCTGGAGAGGCTGGGCATAGGCTTGGTCATTCCCTTTCACCTGGGGCTCCTCGAGAATTCCTCTCCGTCTTGCTGTGGTCTCTCCGCCTGGTGCCTCTAGCCGGGTGTCTGCAGAGAGGCCAGACTTCTTCCGTGGCTGCTCATGGCTCCAAAGTCATGTGTCCTGAGAGATGCGAGAGCCAGGTAGGAGAGGTATTGCCTTTCTGACCCAGCCTTGGAAGTCACAGTCACCTTACTGCATTCTATTGGTCAAAGCAGTCGAAAGACCCGTGCGGATACAAGGAAAGTAAGCAGATTCCCTCTCTCTCTCTCTCTCTCTCTCTCTCTCTCTCTCTCTCCCTTAAATCCTCACCTGAGGATTTACTTCTAATTGATTCTAGAGAGAGAGGAAGGAAAAGGGAGAGAGAGAGAGAAACATTGATGTGAGACAGAAGCATAAATCTGTTGCCTTATGCATGTGTCCTGACTGGGAGTCGAACCCACAACCCTTCAGTGCACAGACGACGCTCAACCAACTGAGCCACTCTGGCCAGGGCACAGTCTCCACCACAAAGTTTTGGAGTGAGCACGTGGGATTGAAAAGGTCATTGGAGCCATTTTGGAAAGTACAATCTGCCACGAGACATTTCCCAGATGTTGAGGGGCAGGATGGTCTCCAGCTGATATCTGAGTTACAATCAGGAAAAAACAAAACGATGTGTTCTTTTTTCTCTCTCTCTTTAGAGGCAAAATATTACCAGAAGGAGATTTCCAATTAAATCTAAGATTATTTGGAAGAACATGGATGATGAAGAGGGACTATCAGTGTAGCAGATTTACTGGAATTGGCTGTGAAAATCATAATGAAAATGAACAAGCCAGAAAGAAAAATATCACTCTCTTGTTCAAAACCCTTTCTGGATGGAGCTAGCGGTGCTGGAAATCGCACGGGAAAAGCCTGGAAGAGGGCCCGGGGGTCAGAAGGGTCAGGCTTGGCTGTTGGCAGGGAGCGCGTGGATGAGCACGAGGGATATTGCTGAGATGAAATGTGCAGGACAGAGCCCGGGCGGGTGCCGGGAGGGAGGAGATGAGGGAGAGCTCAGCGCAGCAGGCACCTGCTGCTTCTACGCGTGGGTTCCCCTGGTGGGAACATCTGGGAGTATGGCCTTGGGAGTCCCCCTCAGGGGCTCCAGCAAGTGAGTCAAGTGCTTGTGGGACTCAACCTCCTTTCATCGCTGGAGTCCCTGGACTCCGACCCCAGTGACCATCTCTTTCAAGTGAGGGCCCTTCACGGCAGGGAAATCACCCCCTCTCCTGTGCTCTCTCGCTGACTCTTTATTCTGAATCTCTGTAGTCTGACCTGGAATCTCTGACCTTGGACCTGGAGGAGCCTCAGGGCCATTCAGATTGGAAAGCAGCCCTCTCTCGCCTGCGGATCGGATCGTCTGGGTGGCCATCAGCTCTCATGTGAAGAGTCTTAGGTTTGCATTTGGACTCAGGGGGAAAGACGGCCTCGATCCATTGGCAGTGGGAGGTGGAGTGGTGATATAAGTTTGGAAACCGTTTCTTGGCTGTTTTAAGTTTGGACAGCAGATTCCTCTCAAAGCAGTTGGCCATCTACCTTTTCCTCCTGGATGATCAGGGCCTCCAGTACCCATCCCTCCCTGCCTTCAGAAAACCACACCCGCACTCCTGCACCCCCATTTTCTTACAGGTCTCCGCTGAGACATTTTGGTTCTGAATTCTCTCTAAATTAGTTGTGCCCTTGATCTTTTCTAAACCGGGAGAATGTAACTCTTGAAAAGACCTTAGAGATCATCTAATTCTACCTCCTCCTTTTACAAGTGAGGAAACTGATGCCTCAACGGGAGAAAGGAGACGTGCCAGCCAGCCTCCCCACCAGCACCTCAACCAGAGTCTGCAAAGGGGCCTGCTTGGGGCCTAGGGGAAGCCTTTCCCCAACGCCAACCTCCCCACCCGGCCCCCTTTCCTGCAGCTGCCAGGCCATGGCGAGGATCGTGCCAACGAGTGTCAACCAGGAAAATGTCTTCTTTCTTGAAAAACATTGTGGATCAGCAGGCAGGCCCCCCAAGACCCCAGCAACGCCGTTTGCTCAAAGCCTGACATACAGTAACCCAGAAACATATGTGGTGAGCAATAACAGTCATAAATTTTATGAGATTATGTGTTCCTAATGTGAGATTTCAGGCTGATCTGTTTGTTGAGCGATGCCAAGCTTCAGCATGATTCAATCAAGTTGTGCTTAATCTTCCCTTATTTACTCTGGGTGAGGGTGAGTCACACAGTGTGTCTCTAGTCCAGTCTGCTGAACTAATTTACCCCAAAGATCCTGATGAACTGGTGATTTGTTTTCTCTCAATGTCCAGAGTTTATTTACTTATATCATTCGATGGAATCTGAATCATATGCAATGACTCTCTGCGGCCATGCTGAGGACCAAGTCCTCTCGGGAAAAAATCACTAGGAGCAGAGAGGACCTTGGAGGTGGTCACGGCTTTCTTGTTGGTCCCAGCCATGTCTTGCCAAATGTTTTGTCACCTGTCTAGTAACTCACTGATTTAACCCCATGGTCTTTTTATCACAGAAAAGAGCATTTTGGCCACTGCCTCGTGTCCCTGGCCCTGGGCCACGTGGATCAGGAATGAAGGGGGCATACCGCCATCTCATGCAAAGATGTGAAAGCCTGGACAATGTGCCCGTGGCCGGGAATGACTCTAGTTGCCAAGCATCTCCATCTCGCAGGGTCCAATTTTTTGCAGCCTCTGGGGAGATGGGAACATGCAGATGGAATTTGGGGGCCGTGTCCTTCATGCTTTATTCTCAGCGCTCCACCGAGGTGTCACGTCCCCTTGTATGGAGAACAGGGAGGACAGTCTGTAGGCGCCACTGATGGTTTGGGGAGCTCCTGGCTTCCATGGGTCGGGAGAAACATGGGGTATGGGCCTTCCAGGCTTGAGGCTTGAAGAAAAGCATTTCCCTTGATGTCCACTTTGATCAGGGTGCCAACCACCTGGTTTTACTGGGGACTGAGGGGGTTCCCAGGGTGTGAGACTTTCAATGCCCAAACCAGAAAAGTTCTGGGCAAACTGGGACAAGTTGGTCACCCTAACTTTGGTGTCCCTTGACTTTATTAAGTCAGGCCTCATGATGTAGCCAGAGCTTTGGTTGGGATGCAGGGTGATTCTTGCCTTTCCCAGTGGCTGCTGCAGGGCCTCAGGCCTTGGGAGGACAGACTACCATTCACGCCCACCACTGTGAGAGTGAGAGTGTGGTCACAAGTCCTGCTCGGCTTCCCAGGATTTTACCCCAAGGATCACCCCAGGTAGGCAGTGCCCTTTCCCTCTGTGGAGGGGCGGCAGCAGGTTTCCCTGCCAGCTGTGGGCATTGCCAGGCTGGTAGCCCACCTGGCAGTAGAGAAGTCCACAGTCTGCATGGGAGACGTGGGAAAGACGTGTGACTCGGCTGAGGGCAGGGTCGGAGGCTGGATGTCAGCATTCCTGAAACGGATGGTCTGAAGCAGTTAAAAGTTAGCTTCAAGCTGGTAGCGAGCTCTGGATGGATCTTTGTGGGGGACAGAATTGTGGGGTTTTTTCTTTTTAGAGGTAAAAATCAGAACACTGTGGTGAGCCTTCCTTTGCTTGTAAGGGTAGCTCCCATACTCCATCACACCCTGATTAAGAATGTGGACTCAGGAGCCAGACTGCTGGGGTTAAGGTTCTGACTGTTGTTTAATTTCATCTCAGATAAGTAATATGACCTCTCTGGGCCTCCATTTCCTAATCTGTGAAATGGGCACACTGATAGGGTAGCTGTGAGGATTAAGTCAATTCACGTACACATTGATTTAGACTAGAGCCTGGCACATACTAATTATTCAGACAAATCTTGTGAAACTGGACTGAAATGGCTGCGTCAAACATACCTCGTCACCACGTACAGTAGTGAACAAAGTTGTCATTTTGTCATCAGAATTGCACACCAGTGGGAAGCTGTGCTCCAGGCACTGCGGTGGCTTGTCCCCTCTGCCAGCTGTTCTAACTGCATCCCACGACACCCCTTGTTCCCTTTTGCTGCCTAGTCACTGCCTGCCAGGCTGGTGTGGACACACAGAATTTCCTGCTTTGAGTGTGAAATGAAGGCCCAGGTTGACAGAGATCTCTGCAGAAAAGATCCCTGACCACTGGCCCACACACGTGAAATTCCAGGGTCTCAAAGGCCAAGGCCCTTCCAACAGAGGCCCCTCCTGCTCGGTCTCCTGCCTCCCATGCAGCAAGGCAGGCTCACCTCCTCCCCGAAGACAGCTCCAACCACACCCTTCACCCCGAGTCCAGGTACGACGCCCGCTCTAGGCTCCAGCAGAAGGAAACTTACACTTCACCCCATCTCCCAGTCACCACAACAAGCACCTGCAGGGACACAGCCTCCTTGGCTGCTTCTTAGGGCAACATGTTGAATTGCAGCCCCTGTACTATTTTGGATATAGCACTAGTTTCACTTAAAGTATCTTGCCAAATTAATCTTGAGCAAATCAATGTAATAGGGGATGTCTTTGAAAGCTTACCTTTGGCTTGAATTCTATAATCTATGTCTTTATTAATAGACCACCCTTTCCTAAAATGGAATTGCTTAGAGTCTCTAGTTGAGTTTTTAGTGCCATTCTGGCATAAATTCAGCTTTCCCATCATGCCTTTGACAATGTTTCAAATTGATGTTTGGTAAATGTGTTTTTAATACACAATGCTTCGTTGAAGCTGAAAAGCAGTTGTATAGATCCTGGATGGTATAAATACTTCAGTGGTGTTAGAGAGATTTTTATTGCACCGTTCACTACCGAGATTAAAATATGCATGGTCAAGGGACAGAAAATGCCCAGGATTATTTCTTAGAATCCTCTGTTGCAATCTGTTGTGTTTTCTGTGCATATTTGCAGTATTGTGATATCTGTGTGGCCCCTCATATGATTTTTTTTCTTGATTGTTTTTGTAAGTGGTCTCTTAACACTGTTCGTAATCCTTCTCCAATTTTATCATCTGCTGTGGGGAGGGGGGAAATAGGGGGATCCCAAACATGTTTATATGTAGAAACATTTGCATTTTAGGAATCTACAAGTCTAACAAAAATTATCTATTCAGTTATACTCACCAGGGGTTGTGTCTGAAAACAACATCACATTTTGTAGCCAAAATAATGAGTAATATTTAGCTTTTCTTACCTTATTAAGACTGATTTAATTCCTTGCATCTGCTACAATTTTAATGGTTTAGTTTTGTATTTCACCCCTTAAATAGGTGCAATATTATTTGGTGTCAATATTTACATTATGCATAAGTGTTCTGCCATAATATTTCAAATTTTGCTCTGACTTCTGCCAAATGGATAAAATTCCCATTATCATGTTCATGCTCATAGAGTTTCTTGGATGCTCCTCTGAACACTAGGCCTTGCTTGCCAAAAATTAAACCATGCATAATTTGCATTTGACAACAGCACAACAATTTTTCTCACTTTTGTAATTTATTTGCAGCATCAATGGTTTTTTCTTTTAGTTGGATGTTTACATTTTCAGTTTTTCATTACTATTGTCAGACTAGGTCAGGGAATGTTTTGGGAACAAGCAATGCTCCGGGGGCTGGACACAACCGAAGTTGACTTCACGTTTGTGCAACACCCAGGGCAGGCCTGGGTGTCTTCTGGGGCAGCTGCCCTCCATGTTGATCCAGGCAGAAAGAGAAGTAACCATCCTGCAGCTTTACCCTCTGGGACAGACGACCTCCTCAGTCAGCGTGGCTGGCAAGAATGATGGAGGGTCTTAGACCAACGATCAGATGCCTCAGCTCAGAAATGATAGGATCACTGCTGTTCGCCACCCATTGGCCAGACCTAGTCACATGGCTTCTCCTGACTGCAGGACAGCAGCATGGTTGTTGCTGTGCACTTGATTTTATTTGTGTTTGCAAAGAATATGTGATAAATAGTGCCAGACTTTGCACCCATTTCTCATGTTTCATTGTTAATTATCCCCAAAGACAAAAATAATACAAGCATGGCCTAGGGATGCTTTTCACTCTTTGAAAGAATTCATGTGTAATAAATTTATGAAAACTTCCTATTTCTAGTGTCTTTTGGGAAGTTAAAATTTCTTATTTGAGGTAAAAAAAAATTCAGCAAGCATATCCTCATATGTAATATTCAAATTATGCATGTGGCCTCTCTGGCTCCAACCACATCAATTCTGTAAGCCCTCTAGTCCCTTTATATTTCTCCTAATATTTCTGGGAGTCCCTGGAGATAGTTTGAAGAGCACTTCTTAGGATGATCCCAGAGGCTCCTATTTGTTCTGCTCCTGCTCTGGCTACTCCTGTTACTGCTGGGTGCTCAGACAGCAGCAGTGTTCCCAAAGGCACACCTTGTACTGCTATTAACCGCCATACCCATTCATTCCTGCCTCAGTGTGCCAAAAACTAGCAATATTAATGGATAGAGCCTGAGCATACCAATAGCTAAGAAGGTGAGTGGATAGGGCCCTGAGTGGGCCAAAAGCTAGCAAGATAATTGGATAGAAAAAAAGCCCTTCCCTCTCTATCCCTATAAGAACAGCCAGGCTTGAGCAAGAAAGGGAGATGGTCTTTGAGACAAGAGTCTGCTATTCTCCCAGGTGATGTGGCTCCTGAATAAACCTCTTTCCTTTTGCACCGGCACCTGCCTCATGAGTTTGGTTTCTGTTGTGGCAGGTCGACGAACTCTGTGGGTTTTTTGGTTCAGATACATGGTTAGCTAGTACCCCAAAATCCAGTGGCCTAAAACAATAAGAATTTCTTTTGCTCATGAGTCTATATGTTGACAATTTAGTCTGGAATTAAATGAGCAATCCTTCTGGTCTTGGCTGGGCTTTCTTTTGTGTCTGTGGCCAGCTATGTATCCACTTGGCTGATCTTGAATGGGCTCTTTCACATGCCCAGGGGTTCGATTGAAATGACTGTGCTGCCTAAATTTTGTTCACATGGTCTGTTATCCCCCAGTGGGCTAGCTCAAGCTTGTTCGCGTAAATGAGGCAGAAGACCCAAGAGAAAGAGAAGAAGTGTATAAAGCCTCTTAAGTCCTAGGCTCAAACTGGCAAATGTCTCTTACA